CGACGGCGACGACGGCGACGACGGCGACGGCGAGGGGGACGACGACGGCGACGGCGACGACGGCGACGTCTCGGGGCCCTGCGGGGGGGGGCCTCCGCGGCGGCGCCGCCGAGGCGCGGTTCGGAAGCCCGTGCAGAGCAGGCGCCTGGCGCCGGGCAGGCGGTCCCGGAAGGAGGCGTAGCCCTGCCGCGAGATGGGGTCCGAGAACAGCGCCACCTCGCGGCCGCCGAGCACGAGGCGCGGGTCGTGGCGGCAGCCGCGGTGCACGAGCCGCGGCACCTGGGCGCCGCGCGCGGGGCTCTCTGCCCAGGGTATGCCGAGCGCCGCCGCGCGCGGCGGCGCGCACGACGAGGGCGCCGAGCGGAAGCCCTGGCGCAGCTGCAGGTGGTCCCCGGTGGTGAGCAGCCAGCACGCGCTGGGGCCCGAGGAGTCCGCGCTGGCGCCCGCGGTCCAGAAGCGGCACCCCCCCTCGCCCTCCGGATGAAGGGCAACGGTAGGGGGGGGATAGGGATGGGGGGGGAAACATCGACCTGGAATCGGCGATGCATCGCCGATAGATCGTCGTCAATAGGCGTCCGATAGTGAATCCGCACCTTCCTGGGGAGGTTGGGGCTCTCGGGCCCCTATCGGCGATCAATGGGCGATGGGGGGTGGATACATCCCCCTGTCGTTGCCCCCGACCTCCAGGGCGCGGCAGGCGAGTGCGCAGGCGGACTCGAGGAACTCCTCGCAGGATCCGTTCCACCCGTCGCCGCACCGCAGGGAGAAGCTGCCGGTCTCGCGGCAGTCGGGGTCCGAGCAGTCGGACAGCAGGCCGGCGGCCGCCCCGAACAGCGCCGCCACGTCCGCCACGAGCGCGCCGCCGTCGGCCTGCAGGGCGAGGTCTCCCACGGCGCAGCCGGGCCACGGGCCGGGGGGCCACTCGAGCTGGGCCGCGGGGGCCGGCGGGTCCTTCTTCCAGACCCCCATGAAGCCGTGGCGGACCAGCGACCTGCACGGTTTCCCCCGGGGCCGTAGGCGACCCGAGGCGGAGGAGGAGGAGGAGGAGGAGGAGGAGGAGGAGGAGGAGGAGAGAGGAGGAGGAGGAGGAGGAGGAGGAGGAGGAGGAGGAGGAGGAGGAGGAGGAGGAGGAGGAGGAGAGGGGGGAGGGAGGGGGAGGACGAGATGGAGGAGAAGGAGGAGGAGGAGGAGGAGGAGGAGGAGGGAGGGGTCGCCTAAGCCCTTCGGAGAAACCCTCCACAGCGACCTGGTCGTGATGCTCCCGGGGGCGGAGAAGCCGGGCACCGAGACCTCCTCCGCCGAGAGCAGCAGCACGCCCGCCTGCGGCAGCCCCGGCGGCGGGAAGCGCAGCGCGGCCTGCTCCGCCGGCGCCCTCACGGCGCGCCCGTCCTTGAAGGGGCCCCAGGACACACAAATAAATACAAAAAATAAACAGATTCCCCATATCTTCCCATATTTTCTGGGTTTCTGTCTTCCCCCCCACTTCCCATATTTTCCCATATTTTCCTGGGGATCGACGATTAATTGTGTCTGTGTGTTTCTTTCCCTCCTGAGTCCTGCACGACCACCGCGGCGCCGCGCCGGGGCCGCGCCAGCGAGGTCGGCAGGCCGAGCCGCCGAGCCTCCGCGCGGAGGAACTCCTTCACGGCGTCCGAGAACACGGCGGGCCCGGTGAGCTCCACCGTGGTCTCGATGTCCCACTCCAGGCGCTCGCGGAAGAGCTCCAGGCAGCGTCGGAGCGCGGAGTGCCCCGGGGCGGCGCCGAAGACCCACTGCTCGAACTGCTCGAAGCGGGAGAAGCCCGCCGCCTTCTGGCCGTCGTCGTCCATGTGCCAGCCCGTCTCGTAGCCGGCGACCAGCCGCGTGTCCGGGAGGAGCCCCCAGCTCTCCAAGGGCTTGAGGCACTCCACGTCCACGTCCGCATAGAAGCCGCCCAGGCGGTAGACCACGGCGTAGCGGAAGAGGTCCGCCCTCTGGATGGGCTCCAGCTGCCTCCAGATGCTGGCGGGCAGCAGGTCTGGGAACTCCTCCGCGACGAAGCGGTCTATCTCCTCGTCCGACCAGAACCGGTGCACGCAGCCCGGGTTCCGCCGGCGGAACTGATGGGCCTGTTTTCCACCACCACCACCACCATGAGTTCGAGGTGGAGGATGAGGAGGACGAAGAGGAGGAGGACGAAGAGGAGGAGGAGGAGGAGGAGGAGGAGGAGGAGGAGGAGGAGGAGGAGGAGGACCCCCTCTCCCTCCTACTTCTGGTGGTGGCGGTGGAAAATAAGCCCACCAGGAACGACCGCAGGCTGTCCTGTATCATCTGCGGCAGGCTGCCCTCGTCCTCAGTGGTCTTCCACTGCTGGTGCACCAGGCATGGGATACGCTCCGCCGGCGAGGGCGGCAGCTGGGCCCCTCCCAGCCAGCGCTCGCACAGCTCCACGGACCTCCAGAGGCCTCCTCGCTGGGGCCGGAGCAGCTGGGGTCGGAGGGTCGCGCCGAACCGCCGAGCTACATCGGTGATGCAGCGGCGATGCACCGGCGATGCACCAGCGATGCACCGGCGATGCGCCAGCGACGTGGACGAGGCCTCGGCGACGTCGTCGTGAAGCAAGCCGGGCTGCACATCGAGCCGCATCGGCGAGGCATCGGCGACGCGGCGCAGTCCTCCGACCCCTTCTGCTCCGACCCCGTCCAGGAGGCCCGGAGGACCTGCGCGCGCCGCCCGGCTCGGGGTCGGCGGAGGTGGCGTTGGCGCTCCGCCCCGGGAAGCCACCGCAGCCTGGGCCTGCGGTCGGGGGCGTCCGAGAGGGGGAAGAGGGGGGCGTCCAAGAGGGCGGGGCGCAAAGCATGGCCGGCGGACCGCGCGCGGCCCAGGGGTGGGCCGGGGACGCAGTGTAATAAGAAGGGACGCCCTGACATCTGGAGAGACACCATGGCCATCGCCACGAGATCCCCCCCTTACAGTGGGGGCCCGACCACGATAAACCTGCCATAAGAAGCCCAACCCTGAGACCCCAGGACGTTCATCGCTTTCTGGTGTGGGAACGTCGAGCCTTCCATCGCAAAGCCATCGAACGCCCGCGAGAAACCCAGGGGGCACCCTGGAGGCGGGCAGGGCGCTTCTTGGCATGGGCCCCCACTGTAGTCGGCACCCAACACCCCCTCTTGGCCGCCCCCGATGCGGCGAGGGTGGCGCGCGCCCAGGGCAGGGGGAAGAGGCGTGACCCCATCAGGACGTTGGCCGCGGCGCACAGGGCCAGCAGCGCCAGCGCCGGGGCCGCGACGTGGCGCCGGCAGAGGGCCCCCGCCGAGAGGCCCGCGAGGCCCGAGGCGGGGCCGGCACCGTGCGCGCGCATCGAGGGTCAGGTCGGGCGTGTCCTCCTGCAGGCGAATTTCTGCGAGGCGGGGATTGATCCATATCCACCGCCTGAGAGCCGACGTCCTGGTGCCCCCGCGGGGGATGGATACGGATGTATTTTGGCCCCCGGGGGCCCGAATTTGTCTGCATCCACCGCCTGTCGAGGTCCCCGAAAATTGGTCCTCCAGGCGGTGGTCATGTATAAATGTCTGCCTCGGGCGAATGTTGGAAGAACCCCCCCCCCAAAAAAAAAAACAAGAAAATCGGAAAATCGTCGCCAGACTAGTCTTTTTTACCATTCTCGAATACTCCCCCTGCAGATGGGCATGCCCGACTCAAATCGCAGGGGGGGCCGCCCCTGCGCGCGAGCGCGCGGGTCACGGCCAGAGCTGGGCGACTGAGGAGCACGCTTCTGCCGAGGAGGGGCAGCGCACCTGCCGCCGGGATCACCGCACGGCATCTGGGAGGAGGGGGAGGAGGAGGAGGAGGAGGAGGAGGAGGAGAAGGAGGGAGGAAGGAGGGAGGAGGAGGAGAAGGAGGAGGAGGAGGAGGACGAGGACGAGGACGAGGAAGAGGAAGAGGAGGAGGAGGACGAGGAGGAGCGAGGAGGAGGAGGAGGAGGAAGAGGAGGAGGGGAGGAGGGGAAAGGAGGAGGAGGAGGGAGACGAGGAGGAGAAGGAGGAGGAGGGAGGAGGAGGAGGAGGAGGAGGGGGAGGAGGAGGAGGAGGAGGAGGAGGAGGAGGAGGAGGAGGAGGAGGACGACGACGAGCGAGTGAGCGGGGGGGGGGCGGAGAGGAAAAGATCGCGCCGCGCCGCGGGCAGGTCACGGGACCGCCAGGCGCAGTCTCAGCGCCGAACTCCCCGCCTTGGGTGCGGTGTCGACCTGGGCCTGACGATGGCCCCCGCGTCCTGCGGCCTGCTTTGCGACTGATCTGCCATCGTGCCTCTGGCACGAAGTGGAGTGCCCCAAGGCCCATGCAGCACTGAGAAACGGAGGCTGTGGTGCTGCTGCTGCTGCTGCTGCTGCTGCTGCTGCTGCTGCTGCTGCTGCTGCTGCTGCTGCTGCTGCTGCGGCTGCGGCTGCGGCTGCGGCTGCGGCTGCGGCTGCGGCTGCGGCTGCGGCTGCGGCTGCTGCTGCGGCTGCTGCTGCAGCAGCAGCAGCAGCTGCTGCTGCTGCTGCTGCTGCTGCTGCTGCTGCTGCGGCTGCGGCTGCGGCTGCGGCTGCGGCTGCGGCTGCGGCTGCGGCTGCGGCTGCTGCTGCTGCTGCTGCTGCTGCTGCTGCTGCTGCTGCTGCTGCTGCTGCTCACATGTTGGCACACCCCTCACACGTTTCGTGGCCCCATAGGGAGCTCCACCGAATGCCCCAGTGGCAGACTTCGCATGCGGTTCCCCGCCCATTTCTGCACACCCCTCTCGTGTCGTGGCCCCGAAGGGAGCTCCACCGAATGCCCCAGTGGCAGGCTTCGCATGCGGTTCCCCGCCCATTTCGGCACACCCCTCTCACGTTTCGTGGCCCCACACGGAGCTCCACCGAAGGCTTCTGTGGCAGGCTTCGCATGCGGTTCCCAGCTCATTTCGGCACACCCCTCACACGTTTCGTGGCCTCGTAGGGAGCTCCACCGAAGGCCCCAGTGGCAGGCGTCGCATGCGGTTCCCAGCCCATTTCGGCACACACCTCTCACGTTTCGTGACCCCATAGGGAGCTCCACCGAAGGCCCCAGTGGCAGGCTTCGCATGCGGTCAACGCACCCATTTTGGCACACCACTCACACGCTTCGTGGCCCCATAGGGAGCTCCACCGAAGGCCCCAGTGGCAGGCTTCGCATGCGGTTCCCCGCCCATTTTGGCACACCCCTCACAAGCTTCGTGGCCCTATAAGGAGGCCCGTCGAACGATGGACCAAGAACGCGGTATCCACAACTGCGTATGGTTCGGTCCTTCGTCAGGCTAATGTTCCAAAAGCTTTTTGATGAATGTTGGCGTTCTCGCCTTTTCGGCTTTCCGACGGCCCAAGAGGCCCTCAAGACCACTCCAAGGCGGCCCAAGGGGCCTCCAATGGGGCCCCAAGACGGCACAAGAGCGCCCCAAGACGGCCCCAGAGGCGCCCAAGACGGCCCTAGAGGGCCCCAAGACGGCCCCAAAAGAGGTCCAAGAGAGGGAACACGAAGCAAAAATCCGAGCCTCTCGCCCCAAGAGGCCCAGGAGGCCCCAAGAGGCGCCCAAGAGGCTCCCAAGAGGTCCCAAGACCCGAGAGGCCCTCCACGAGATCCCAACGAGCATCCAATGGGCTTTATACCCGGAATAGACCGAAGGCCATCAGACCTGCTTAGCACGGGGACGGCAAGCGCGTGTACTTTGTGAGGGCGTGAGGTCGCTTGGAGCGAGCCCTGGAGCCATGCTGGTGTCAAGGCTTGGGTACGACATACTACAATCTAGCAGAAAGCCTTCAAATAATAAATGAAGATTGCATGTCTGGGCCTTCCTGGGAGTCCTTGGGGTTCTTTTGGGCCGTCTTGGGGCCCTCCTTGGCCGTCCTGGGGCCCTCTTGGGCCGTATTGGTGGGCTAGGGCCGTCTTGGGGCCCTCTCGGGGCCCTCTGGGACCCTCTTGGGGACTTCCTGTGGCCCTCTTGGAGCTCTCTCGGGAACCTTTTGGGGCCCTCAAGAGGCCTCTGCTGGGCCGTCTTGGGGATCTCGTGGGCCGTCTTGAAACCCACGGGCCGTCTTGGGGCCCTCTCGGGGCCCTCTCGGGCCGTCTTGGGGCGGTCCTCGGGGCCTCTTGGGCCGTCTTGAACGGAAGAAGCGAATGTGCAAAAACCTGTACGTTGTGCTCCGGGAATGGGAGGATGTTTGCCTCTTGCGGGTGATCGCTTTTCCGAACCATCCTGAGGTATTGGGTCCTCGTTTTGGAGAGACAGCGCCCCGCGTTCCTCCTCCTCCCGCTGCTCCCTCCCTCCTCCTCCTCCTGCTCCTCTTCCTCCTCCTGCTCCTCCTCCTCCTCCTGCTCCTCCTCCTCCTCCGCCTCCTCCTCCTCCTCCTCCTCCTCCTCCTCCTCCGCCTCGGGTCGCCTACGGCCCCGGGGGAAACCGTGCAGGTCGCTGGTCCGCCTCCGCCTCGGCCTCCGCCTCCGCTCTCCTCCTCCGCCTCCTCCCTCCTCCTCCTCCTCCTCCTCCGCCTCCGCCTCCGCCTCCGCCTCCGCCTCCGCCTCCGCCTCCGCCTCCTCCTCATCCTCCTCCTCATCATCTCTCCATCTCATCATCATCATCATCATCATCATCATCATCATCATCATCATCATCATCATCATCATCATCATCATCATCATCGTCATCATCATCATCATCATCATCATCAGCAGCAGCATCATCATCATCATCAGAATCACCACCACCACCATCATCCCGCCCACCGCGCGTCCATTTCGGAACACCCCTCGCACGGTTCGTGGCCTCATAGGGAGCTCCACCGAGGGCCCCAGCAGGGTTCGCATGCGGTTCCCCAATAGGAAGTTCAACCAAGGGCCCTGGCAGCAGGGTTCGCATGCGGATCACCCCCCACCCCAGGTCCATTTCGGCACACACACACACACACACACACACCCCACACGGTTCGTGGCTCCATAGGGAGCTCCACCGAGCGCCCCGGCAACAGGGTTCGCATGCGGTTCCCCGCCCACCCCAGGTCCATTTCGGCACACCCCTCTCGGGCCCCAGCAGCAGGGTTCGCACGCGGTGCCCCGCCCACCCCAGGTCCATTTCGGCACACCCCTCACACGCTTCGTGGCCCCATAGGGAGCTCCACCGAAGGCCCCAGTGGCGGGGTTCGCATGCGGATCCCCGCCCACCGAATCTGCGGTTCCCCGCCCAGTACAGCGTTTCGTGGCCCCATAGGGAGCTCCACGGAAGACGATACCCACAACTGCGGTACTCACAACTGCATATGGTTGGGTTCTTCACCAGGCAATTTTTTTGGTTGCTCCCCCGCATCCCCAGAAATACCATCTCTGAGTATATCATCAGGGCAAAGAGTCCATGCATCCCATGACGGACAACGTTGTGCCCGATCGGAGAAGAGAGAGAGGTGGAAAAATGGGCAGGGCAAGTAGATGGAGCAAAACCAAGACAAGACATCGTCGCATTGGACCGATGTGCAAGCCGTGCGCTACACTCGCCGTCACAGTTTCGCGGCTGGCGCCAGACGCAAACGAGTGGCGCGGCAAAAGCACGTCCCGTCCCGAAGATGGACGGCTTAAGCTATAAGCCAAAAAGGCAATACCGATGGCGTCCCACATCGGCGCCCTATCGCTGGCGTATCGCACATCGACGACACAATGACTAGCGCACGATCAGGTGACTTCGGTGACTACTCACACAATTCTTAAAAAGTACTCAGGTCTGGTCGACTGAAAAATCAAGGCCAATGCCGGCGGTGCACGAGCAGCTCGGCCTCAGACCTGTCGCGCGCTCGCTATGCTGCGGCCAAGGCCGAGTTCTCCTGAATGCTGCCGAGGAGATTGGCCTGCTTGCTCTCCCCGCTCTTCTGCCGCTGGAACTCGCTGGCTCCGCTCAGCTGCCGCTCGAACTGCGTCTCCAAAGCCACCGACTGCTGGATTGTCTCCCCTTGAGAATGGACATAGAGATCGTGGACAAGGGCGAGGCTGCAGTACAAGCCCGAAGGCATGAGGAGCGTCCAGAGCTTGAGGGCGTTGTACGCGATGGAGCCCAAGCACGCGCCTCCAATGAATCCGGCAAGGAGAAGGCTCATGAGAATCACCTTGTTTCTGTCCGCGGTATGCTCTTCCCAATCTTCTGGCGCAAAGCTCCTGCATTTGGACAGAAACCTCGAAATGATTCGACCAACGGCCAAGCCCAGGTCAGTGCCCGTTCCGGTCATGTGAGTCGTGCGAATGACGTTTCCGCTCCAAGACGAGCAGAGCCCGTTCTGGAGGCCGCAGCCAAGGGCCAAGAGGTGCGCGCCGAGAAGGCCGTGGCCGCTCAAGACTATCGGACTGGCCATGATGAGCGCGAGTATCATGAGGGCAGACGAGTACGGCGCCTTGCCAATCTTAAGCGTCGCCTTGGGGATGAGCAGGCCGCACAGGGTTGACCCGACGATGAAGTCAAGAACGAGCAGCGCTGGCGTTGGCACATCCCCAGGCTGGTCTCCAAACTGGCGGAGCCCGATCGCCGTGGAAGAGCCTGAGACGTGGCTGACGTACGTACCGAACTTGGCGAACGCCACAGCATTGACCATTCCAGCGCAGATCGCCAAGGTCAAGCCGCTCACGTGCACGCCGATCTTCTCACTGTTGCTGCTGATGGCCTCGAGCACTGCAAGCCTATCCTGGAGCGCGGCGCGGAATTGGCGGCTGTCGAGCGCTTCGCCTATTGACCCCAAAGCCTCGTCGCTGATCATCAGTGACTCCGAGCGTTGCAACGTGCTGGGCATCTTCCCGCAAAAGTGGGCCTTCTTCCACTCGCGAGCGAGCAAGTAGGACTCTGCACCACTGGATTGAGCTAGGCAACTTGAGCCAAAATGGCTTGAGCCAAAATGGCTACTTTCGGACCTCTTGCGGGTGATCGTGGTGGCCTCTTGGAGCGTCTTGAGGGCCTCGTCGGCCGTCCTGAGGCCGTCTTGGGCCCTCTTTGAACGCTCTTGGGCCGTCTTGGGCCCCTCTTGGGTCTCCCAGGGGCCGTCTTGGAGGTAGCCGAAACCGTCTTGGGGGGCCTCTTGGGCCGCCATGGGGGCCTCTTGGGCACTCCTGAGGCTGACTTGGGCCGTCTTGGGGGAGAACCCTAAAAACATACAAAAACCCAAAGGAAAACCCCAAAACGGTCATTAACACTCATTCGTCCGCGCTACCCACCCCCCCTGGAACCCCCCTAAAAGGGCTTCGCCCAACACACAACGTCATCGCTCGTACCTCGCTCTTTCCGTTACCTGGGCTGGCACGGAAACGGAAAGAGCGCTGCAGCAACAGAAACCGAAATGACTCACCCCGCCGTTCGTACCGGGAGCCTTGGCGTTGAGAGCTGGTTACGTCACACCGCGCTCTTGGGAGCCTTGGGGTGCAGAGATGGTTGGTTGCCGCCCGTTCCTGAGCCTTGGCTGGGCCTTGGTGTCAGGAACTTGTTACGTCACCGCTCTCTGCTGGGAGCCTTGGTCTTATCAGCTTGTGTACGTCACCGTTCGCTCTTGGGAGCCTTGGCGTGAAGAGCTTTTTGCGTTACCGATCGCTCTTGGCGTCTCTGGGCCTTCGTGGGAGTCCTATTGGGGCCCTTTTCGGGCCCTCCTGGGGGCCTCTTGGGGGCCTCTTGGGGCTTCTTGGGGGTCTGTGGGGGCCTCCTGGGAGCGTCTCGGGGCGAAAGGCTGACTTTCGGGTTCGTGGTCCCCCTCTTGGGGCCGTCTTGGGGCCCTCTTGGGCCGTCTTGGGCGCCTCTTGGGCCGTCTTGGCGCCCTGTTGGGCCGTTTTGGGTGCCTATTGGGACCCTCTTGGGCCGTCTTGGGGCGGTCTTGGGGGCCTCTTGGACCGTCTTCAACGCCGTGAAAGCCGAAAAGCCGTGTATGCTCAAAATGTACGCTTTCCCACAGGAAATCTATGATTTTGGCCTCCTGGTGGCCTCGTGGGACGCCTCTTGGGAGCCTCTTGGGGCTGCTGGGGGGGCTGGGGGGGGCCTCCTGGGAGCGTCTTGGGGCGATAGGCTAGACTTTTCGGTTCGTGGTCCCCCTCTTGGGGCCGTCCCGGGGGTTCCCGGGCTGGCCTGGGCCGTCCCGGGGGTTCCCGGGGTGGCTCCCGTGAGTTCTGGGGTGTTTCCTGCGGGTCCTCTGGATGCTGTGACCGCCCAAGACGGTCGAAGAGAGCCCCGACTCCCCGAAACATAGCTCAAAGACGTTGTCAATAGCCTCGAGACGGCCTCAGACACCTCCAAGACGACCCCAGAGGCCTTCAACAGCACCCCCACGAGGGCCACAAGAGGCAAAAATCAATGATTCCAACTATCCTGTGGTGCTGGGTCCTCGTTTTGAAGAGACGGTCCCCGCGTTCCTCTCATCTCCTCCTCCTCCCCCTCCTCCTCCCTCCTCCCGTCACCCTCCTTCACTCTGGTACACCCCTCACACGTTTCGTGGCCCCATAGGGAGATCCACCGAAGGCCCCAGTGGCAGGCTTCGCATGCGGTCACCGCACCCATTTTGGCACACCCCTCACACGTTTCGTGGCCCCATAGGGAGCTCGCCCCAGTGGCAGGCTCCGCATGCGGTCACCGCACACATGTTGGAACACCCCTCACACGCTTCGTGGCCCCGTAGGGAGCTCCACCGAATGCCCCAGTGGCAGACTTCGCATGCGGTTCCCCGCCCATTTCGGCGGGAGCTCCACCGAATACCCCAGTGACAGGCTTCGCATGCGGTTCCCCGCCCTTTTGGGCACACCACTCTCACGCTTCGTGGCCCCATAGGGAGCTCCACCGAATGCCCCAGTGGCAGGCTTCGCATGCGGTTCCCAGCCCATTCGGGCACACCCCTCACACGCTTCGTGGCCCCATAGGCAGCTCCACTGGCAGGGTTCGCATGCGGTCACCGCACACATGTTGGCACACCCCTCACACGTTTCGTGGCCCCGTAGGGAGCTCCACCGAATGCCCCAGTGGCAGGCTTCGCATGCGGTTCCCCGCCCATTTCGGCACACCCCTCTCACGTTTCGTGGCCCCGTTGGAAGCTCCACCGAATGCCCCAGTGGCAGGCTTCGCATGCGGTTCCCCGCCCATTTCGGCACACCCCACACACGTTTCGTGGCCCCACAGGGACAGGCTTCGCATGCGGTTCCCAGCTCATTTCGGCCTACCCCTCACACGTTTCGTGGCCTCGTAGGGAGCTCCACCGAAGGCCCCAGTGGCAGGCGTCGCATGCGGTTCCCAGCCCATCTCGGCACACACCTCTCACGCTTCGCGACCCCATAGGGAGCTCCACCGAAGGCCCCAGTGGCAGGCTTCGCATGCGGTCAACGCACCCATTTTGGCACACCACTCACACGCTTCGTGACCCCAAGGGAGCTCCACCGAGGGCCCCAGTGGCAGGCTTCGCATGCGGTTCCCCGCCCATTTTGGCACACCCCTCACAAGCTTCGTGCCCCCATAAGGAGGCCCGTCGAACGATGGACCAAGAACGCGTCATCCACAACTGCTTATGGTTGGGTCCTTCGTCAGGCTAATGTTCCAAAAGGTTTTTGATGAATGTTGGCGTTCTCGCCTTTTCGGCTTTCTGACGGCCCAAGAGGCCCCCAAGACCACCCCAAGGCGGCCCAAGGGGCCTCCAATGGGGCCCCAAGACGGCACAAGAGCGCCCCAAGACGGCCCAAGAGGCGCCCAAGACGGCCCTAGAGGGCCCCAAGACGGCCCCAAAAAAGGTCCAAGAGAGGGAACACGAAGCAACAATCCGAGCCTCTCGCCCCAAGAGGCCCAGGAGGCCCCAAGAGGCGCCCAAGAGGCTCCCAAGAGGTCCCAAGACCCGAGATGCCCTCCACGAGATCCCAACGAGCATTCAATGGGCTTTATACCCGGAATAGACCGAAGGCCATCAGACCTGCTTAGCACGGGGACGGCAAGCGCGTGTACTTTGTGAGGGCGTGAGGTCGCTGGCTTAGCGTCTTGGAGCGAGCCCTGGAGCCATGCTGGTGTCAAGGCTTGGGTACGACATACTACAATCTAGCAGAAAGCCTTCAAATAATAAATGAAGATTGCATGTCTGGGCCTTCCTGGGAGTCCTTGGAGTTCTTTTGGGCCGTCTTGGGGCCCTCCTTGACCGTCCTGGGGCCCTCTTGGGCCGTCTTGGGGGGCTAGGGCCGTCTTGGGGCCCTCTCGGGGCCCTCTGGGACCCTCTTGGGGACTTCTGTGGCCCTCTTGGGGCTCTCTCGGGAACCTCTTGGGGCCCTCAAGAGGCCTCTCCTGGGCCGTCTTGGGGCTCTCGTGGGCCGTCTTGAAACCCACGGGCCGTCTTGGGGCCCTCTCGGGGCCCTCTCGGGCCGTCTTGGGGCGGTCCTCGGGGCATCTTGGGCAGTATTGGACCGAAGAAGCGAATGTGCAAAAACCTGTACGTTGTGCTCCGGGAATGGGAGGATGTTTGCATCTTGCGGGTGATCGTTTTTCCGAACCATCCTGGGGTATTGGGTCCTCGTTTTGGAGAGACAGCGCCCCGCGTTCCTCCTCCTCCCGCTGCTCCCTCCCTCCTCCTCCTCATCCTCCTCCTCCTCCTCCTCCTCCTCCTGCTCCTCCTCCTCCTCCTCCTCCTCCTCCGCCTCCTCCTCCTCCGCCTCCGCCTCCGCCTCCGCCTCCGCCTCCGCCTCCGCCTCCTCCTCCTCCTCATCCTCCTCATCATCCTCCTCTCATCATCAGCACCATCATCATCATCATCATCATCATCATCATCATCATCATCATCATCATCATCATCAGCAGCAGCAGCAGCAGCAGCAGCATCATCTTCATCATAATCACCACCACCACCACCATCATCCCGCCCACCGCGCGTCCATTTCGAAACACCCCTCGCACGGTTCGTGGTCTCATAGGGAGCTCCACCGAGGGCCCCAGCAGCAGGGTTCGCACGCGGTTCCCCCATAGGAAGTTCCACCGAGGGCCCTGGCAGCAGGGTTCGCATGCGGATCACCCCCCACCCCAGGTCCATTTCGGCACACACACACACACACACACCACACGGTTCGTGGCCCCATAGGGAGCTCCACCGAGGGCACCAGCAGCAGGGTTCGCATGCGGTGCCCCGCCCACCCCAGGTCCATTTCGGCACACCCCTCACACGATTCGTGGCCCCACAGGGAGCTCCACCGAGCGCCCCGGCAACAGGGTTCGCATGCGGTTCCCCGCCCACCACAGGTCCATTTCGGCACACCCCTCTCACGCTTCGTGGCCTCGTATGGAGCTCCACCGAGGGCCCCAGCAGCAGGGTTCGCATGCGCTGCCCCGCCCACCCCAGGTCCATTTCGGCACACCCCTCACGCGGTTCGTGGCCCCATAGGGAGGTCCACCGAAGGCCCCAGTGGCGGGGTTCGCATGCGGATCCCCGCCCACCGAATCTGCGGTTCCCCGCCCAGTACAGCGTTTCGTGGCCCCACAGGGAGCTCCACGGAAGACGATACCCACAACTGCGGTACTCACAACTGCATATGGTTGGGTTCTTCACCAGGCTAATCTTTTGGTTGCTCCCCCGCATCCCCAGAAATACCATCTCTGAGTATCCCATGACGGACAACGTTGTGCCCGATCGGAGAAGAGAGGGAGGTGGAAAAATGGGCAGGGCAAGTAGATGGAGCAAAACCAAGACAAGACATCGTCGCATTGGACCGATGTGCAAGCCGTGCGCTACACTCGCCGTCGCAGTTTCGCGGCTGGCGCCAGACGCAAACGAGTGGGTGGCAAAAGCACGTCCCAAAGATGGACAGCTTAAGCTATAAGCCAAAAAGGCAATACCGATGGCGTCCCACATCGGCACCCTATCGCTGGCGTATCGCACATCGACGACACAATGACTAGCGCACGATCAGGTGACTTCGGTGACTACTCACACAATTCTTAAAAAGTACTCAGGTCTGGTCGACTGAAAAATCAAGGCCAATGCCGGCGGTGCATGAGCAGCTCGGCCTCAGACCTGTCGTGCGCTCGCTATGCTGCGGCCAAGGCCGAGTTCTCCTGAATGCTGCCGAGGAGATTGGCCTGCTTGCTCTCCCCGCTCTTCTGCCGCTGAAACTCGCTGGCTCCGCTCAGCTGCCGCTCGAACTGCGTCTCCAAAGCCACCGACTGCTGGATTGTCTCCCCTTGAGAATGGACATAGAGATCGTGGACAAGGGCGAGGCTGCAGTACAAGCCCGAAGGCATGAGGAGCGTCCAGAGCTTGAGGGCGTTGTACGCGATGGAGCCCAAGCACGCGCCTCCAATGAATCCGGCAAGGAGAAGGCTCATGAGAATCACCTTGTTTCTGTCCGCGGTATGCTCTTCCCAATCTTCTGGCGCAAAGCTCCTGCATTTGGACAGAAACCTGGAAATGATTCGACCAACGGCCAAGCCCAGGTCAGTGCCCGTTCCGGTCATGTGAGTCGTGCGAATGACGTTTCCGCTCCAAGACGAGCAGAGCCCGTTCTGGAGGCCGCAGCCAAGGGCCAAGAGGTGCGCGCCGAGAAGACCGTGGCCGCTCATGACTATCGGACTGGCCATGATGAGCGCGAGTATCATGAGGGCAGACGAGTACGGCGCCTTGCCAATCTTAAGCGTCGCCTTGGGGATGAGCAGGCCGCACAGGGTTGACCCGACGATGAAGTCAAGAACGAGCAGCGCTGGCGTTGGCACATCCCCAGGCTGGTCTCCAAACTGGCGGAGCCCGATCGCCGTGGAAGAGCCTGAGACGTGGCTGACGTACGTACCGAACTTGGCGAACGCCACAGCATTGACCATTCCAGCGCAGATCGCCAAGGTCAAGCCGCTCACGTGCACGCCGATCTTCTCACTGTTGCTGCTGATGGCCTCGAGCACTGCAAGCCTATCCTGGAGCGCGGCGCGGAATTGGCGGCTGTCGAGCGCTTCGCCTATTGACCCCAAAGCCTCGTCGCTGATCATCAGTGACTCCGAGCGTTGCAACGTGCTGGGCATCTTCCCGTAAAAGTGGGCCTTCTTCCACTCGCGAGCGAGCAAGTAGGACTCTGCACCACTGGATTGAGCTAGGCAACTTGAGCCAAAATGGCTTGAGCCAAAATGGCTACTTTCGGACCTCTTGCGGGTGATCGTGGTGGCCTCTTGGAGCGTCTTGAGGGCCTCGTCGGCCGTCCTGAGGCCGTCTTGGGCCCTCTCTGAACGCTCTTGGGCCGTCTTGGGCCCCTCTTGGGTCTCCTGGGGGCCGTCTTGGAGGCAGCCGAAACCGTCTTGGGGGGCCTCTTGGGCCGCCATGGGGGCCTCTTGGGCGCTCGTGAGGCTGACTTGGGCCGTCTTTGGGGAGAACCCTAAAAACATACAAAAACCCAAAGGAAAACCCCAAAACGGTCATTAACACTCATTCGTCCGCGCTACCCACCCCCCCTGGAACCCCCCTAAAAGGGCTTCGCCCAACACACAACGTCATCGCTCGTACCTCGCTCTTTCCGTTACCTGGGCTGGCATGGAAACGGAAAGAGCGCTGCAGCAACAGAAACCGAAATGACTCACCCCGCCGTTCGTACCGGGAGCCTTGGCGTTGAGAGCTGGTTACGTCACACCGCGCTCTTGGGAAACCTTGGGGTGCAGAGATGGTTGCGTTGCCGCCCGTTCCTGAGCCTTGGCTGGGCCTTGGTGTCAGGAACTTCTTACGTCACCGCTCTCTGCTGGGAGCCTTGGTCTTATCAGCTTGTGTACGTCACCGTTCGCTCTTGGGAGCCTTGGCGTGAAGAGCTTTTTGCGTTACCGATCGCTCTTGGCGTCTCTGGGCCTTCGTGGGAGTCCTATTGGGGCCCTTTTCGAGCCCTCCTGGGGGCCTCTTGGGGGCCTCTTGGGGCTTCTTGGGGGTCTGTGGAGGCCTCCTGGGAGCGTCTCGGGGCGAAAGGCTGACTTTCGGGTTCGTGGTCCCCCTCTTGGGGCCGTCTTGGGGCCCTCTTGGGCCGTCTCGGGCGCCTCTTGGGCCGTCTGGGGGCCCTCTTGGGCCGTTTGGAGGGCCTCTTGGGAGCCTCTTGGGCCGTCTTGGGGCGGTCTTGGGGGCCTCTTGGACCGTCTTCAACGCCGTGAAAGCCGAAAAGCCGTGCATGCTCAAAATGTACGCTTTCCCACAGGAAATCTATGATTTTGGCCTCCTGGTGGCCTCGTGGGACGCCTCTTGGGAGCCTCTTGGGGCTGCTGGGGGGGCTGTGGGGGCCTCCCGGGAGCGTCTTGGGGCGATAGGCTAGACTTTTCGGTTCGTGGTCCCCCTCTTGGGGACGTCTTGGGCCCTCTTGGGCCGTCTTGGGCGCCTCTTGGGCCGTCTGGGGGCCCTCTTGGGCCGTTTTGGGTGCCTCTTGGGAGCCTCTTGGGCCGTCTTGGGGCGGTCTTGGAGGCATCTTGGGCCGTCGTCAACGCCGTGAAAGGCGAAAAGCCGTATATGCTGAAAATATACGTTTTCCTTTGGGGAAACGCTGATTTTGGCCTCTTGGGGCCCTCTTGGGACGCCCCTTGGGCGCCTCTTGGGGGCCTTTTCGGGGCCTCTTGGGTCGTCTTGGGCGGTCTTGGGCTCTCTTGGAGCGCTCGTGGGCCGTCTTGGGGAGGAACCCAAAAAATGCAAAAAACCCGAGGGAAAACCCGAAAACGGCCATTAGAGCCAATCCGCTCCCCGTACGCCCCCCCAGAAACCCCCCTCAAGGGGCTTCGCCCCACACCAGAACGTCATCACTCGTATCTTGGGGCGCCTCTGGGGCCGTCTTGGGGCCCTCTTGGGCCGTTTTGGTGGCCTCTTGGGAGCCTCTGAGACCGTCTTGGGGCGATCTTGGGGGCCTCTTGGGCCGTCGTCAACGCCGTGAAAGGCAAAAAGCCTATGCTAAAAGTATACGGTTTCCTTTCGAAAAACAAAAAAAAACAATGATTTTGGCATACTGGGGCCCTCTTGGGACGCCCCTTGGGCGCCTTTGAGAGCCTCTTCGGGACCTCTTGGGCCGTCTTGGGCGGTCTTGGGCTCTCTTGGAGCGCTCTTGGGCCGTCTTGGGGGAGAATCCCAAAAACATGCATCGCTCGTACCTCGCTCTTTCCGTTACCTGGCCTGGCACAGAAACGGAAAGAGCGCTTCAGCAACAGAAACCGAAATTACACACACCACCGTTCGTACTGAGAGCCTTGGCGTTGAGAGCTTGTTACGTCACCCCTCGCTCTTGGGAGCCTTGGTGTGCAGAGATGGTTGCGTTGCCGCCCGTTCCTGAGCCTTGGCTGGGCCTTGGTGTCAGGAACTCGTTAATTACGTTACCGCTCTCTGCTGGGAACCTTGGTCTTATCAGCTTGTGTACGTCACCGTTCGCTCTTGGGAGCCTTGGCGTGAAGAGCTTTTTGCGTTACCGATCGCTCTTGGCGTCTCTGGGCCTTCGTGGGAGTCCTATTGGGGCCCTTTTCGGGCCCTCCTGGTGGCCTCTCGGGGGCCTCTTGGGGGCCTCTTGGGGCTTCTTGGGGGGCTCTGGGGGCCTCCTAGGAGCTTCGTGGGGCGAAAGGCTAGACTTTCGGCTTCGTGGTCCCGTCTTGGGCGCCTCTGAGGCCGTCTTGGGGCCGTCTTGGGCCGTTGTGGGGGCCTCTTGGGAGCCTCTTGGGCCGTCTTGGGGCGGTCTTGGGGCGGTCTTGGGGGGCCTCTTGGACCGTCTTCTACGTCGTGAAAGCCGAAAACCCGTATGTGCTAAAAATGTACGTCTTCCCATCGAAAATCTATGAGTTGGGCCTCCTGTTGGCCTCGTGGGACGCCTCTTGGGGTCCTCTTGGGGCTTCTTGGGGGGCTCTTGGGGCGACCTGGGAGCGTCTTCGGGCGAAAGTCTAGACTTTTCGGGTCGTGGTCCCCCTCTTGGGGCCGTCTTGGGCCCCTCTGGGGCCGTCTTGGGCGGCTCTTGCGCCGTCCGGGGGCCTCTTGGGCCGTTTTGAGGGCCTATTGGGAGCCTCTTGGGCCGTCTCGGGGCGGTCTTGGGGGCCTCTTGGGCCGTCGTCCACGCCGTGAAAGGCGAAAAGCCGTATATGCTAGAAATATACGTTTTCCTTCGGAAAATCGATGAATCTAGCCTCTTGGAGCCCTCTTGGAACGCCCCTTGGGGGGGACCCTTGGTGTTCAGAGCTTGTTACGTCACCGCTCGCTGTTGGGAACCATGATGTTACTTGGCGTCTCTGGGGCTTCTTGGGAATTTGTGGGAGCCGTTTTGGGCCGTTTTGGAACTCTTGGGCCATCTTGGGGCCAGCCCAGTCCCCACGCCCAAGCAGCCCAGTCCCCCCATACCTCCTCTTCGGGCCCTCTTGGAAGCCTATTGGGGCCCTCTTGGGGCTCTCTTGGGACCGTCTTGGGCCCTCTTGGGCCGTCTTGGGGCCATCTTGGGCCGTCTGAGGGCCCTCTTGGGCCGTCTGGGGGCTTTCGGCCCCCTTGGGGGGCAGCCGGAACAGTTTTGGGACGATCTTTGGGGCCTCTTGGGCCATCTCGGGCCCGTCTGGGAGCCCGTCTGGGGCCCTTCTGGACCGGAAAAGGGGAGAACCCAAAAAACCTATTAAAAACCATAGGGGAATCAATGTTTTCGGCCTCCTCAGACCCTCGCTCTTGAAGGCCTCTGGAGCCGTCTTGAAGCTCTCTTGGACCGTCTGGAAGCCGTCTGAAGCTCTCTTAGGGGCCGTCTTGGGGCCCTCTTGCGCCGTCTTGGGGCCCTCTGGACGTTCCACTCGAAATTAGCCTGACGAAGGACCCAACCAAAATCAGTTGTGGATGCCGCGTTCTGGGTCCATCGTTCGACGGGCCTGCCTGTGGGGCCACGAACCGTGTGAGGGGTGTGCCGAAGTGGGCGGGGAACCGCATGCGAACCCTGCCACTGGGGCCTTCGGTGGAGCTCCTTGTGGGGCCACGAACCGTGCCGACATGGGCGGGGAACCGCATGCGAACCCTGCCACTGGGGCCTTCGGTGGAGCTCCCTATGGGGCCACGAACCGTGTGAGCGGTGTGTCGAAATGGGCGGGGAACCGCATGCGAACCCTGCCACTGGGGCCTTCGGTGGAGCGTGTGAGGGGTGTGCCGAAATGAGCAGGGAACCGCATGCGAACCCTGCCGCTGGGGCCTTCGGTGGAGCTCCCTATGGGGCCACGAAACGAGTGAGGGGTGTGCCAACATGGGCGGCGAACCGCATGCGAACCCTGCCGCAGGGGCCTTCGGTGGAGCTCCCTATGTGGGCACGAACCGTGTGAGCGGTGTGCCGAAATTGGCAGGGAAACCGCATGCGAACCCTGCCACTGGGGCCTTCGGTGGAGCTCCCTATGGGGCCACGAAACGTGTGAGGGGTGTGCGACCCCTGCCACTGGGGCCTTCGGTGGAGCTCTCTATAGGGCCACGAAACGTGTGAGGGGTTTGCTGACATGGGCGGGGAACCGCATGCGAACCCTGCCACTGGGGCCTTCGGTGGAGCTCCCTATGGGGCCACGAACCGTGTGACGGTGTACCGATATGGGCGGGGAACCGCATGCGAACCCTGCCATTGGGGCCTTCGGTGGAGCTCCCTATGGGGACACGAAACGTGTGAGGGATGTGCCGAAATTGGCAGGAAACCGCATGCGAACCCTGCCACTAGGTCCTTAGGTGGAGCTCCCTATGGGGCCACGAAACGTGTGAGGGGTGTGCCGAAATGGACAGGGAACCGCATGCGAACCCTGCCACTAGGTCCTTAGGTGGAGCTCCCTATGGGGCCACGAACCGTGTGAGGGGTGTGCCGAAAAGGACAGGGAACCGCATGCGAACCCTGCCACTAGGGCCTTCGGTGGAGCTCCCTATGGGGCCACGGAACGTTTGAGGGGTGTGCCGACATGGGCGGGGAACCACATGCGAGCGGCTTTCGGTGGAGCCCCGAGCTCCCTATAGGGCCACGAAACGTGTAAGGAGGAGGCCCAGGAGGAGGTGGAGGAGGGGGAGGAGGAGAGGAGGAGGAGGAGGAGGAGGAGGA